ATGTAGGCGGAGGTGTGTAAATCGCAGGACTGGCTGAGCAGTGGGGGGGGATGTAGGCGGAGGTGTGTAAATCGCAGGACTGGCTGAGCAGTGGGGGGGGATGTAGGCGGAGGTGTGTAAATCGCAGGACTGGCTGAGCAGAGTCTGTACAGTATATGGAGGGAGGCTTCGGACTGACCCTCCCCCACTCGAATTTCTTCTGGTTTACACAACTTCAAATGGCCAATCATGTCAGGGGGGCGTGGTCTGTGTTGGTGCCCCTCCTCTCTAGCAGCAAGCTGGGAATTATAGTTCCCCCACATGGCCTGGCTGGGAGTAGTAGTTCCCCCCACATGGCTCGGCAGGGGATGCTGGGAGTAGTAGTTCCCCCACATGGCCTGGCAGGGAATGCTGGGAGTAGTAGTTCCCCCACATGGCTCGGCAGGGGATGCTGGGAGTAGTAGTTCCCCCACATGGCCTGGCAGGGGATGCTGGGAGTAGTAGTTCCCCCACATGGCCTGGCAGGGGATGTCGGGAGTAGTAGTTCCCCCACATGGCCTGGCAAGGGATGCTGGGAGTAGTAGTTCCCCCCCACATGGCATGGCAGGGGATGCTGGGAGTAGTAGTTCCCACCACATGACTTGCCAGGGGATGCTGGGAGTAGTAGTTGCCCCCACATAGGTTGGCAGGGGATGCTGGGAGTAGTAGTTGCCCCCACATGGCCTGGCAGTTGATGCTGGGAGTAGTAGTGACCCCCGCAGGGGATGCTGGGAGTAGTAGTTGCCCCACATGGGTTGGCAGGGGATGGTGGGAGTAGTAGTTGCCCCTCATGGATTGGCAGGGCATGGTGGGAGTAGTAGTTGCCCCACATGGCCTGGCAGGGGATGGTGGGAGTAGTAGTTGCCCCACATGGCCTGGCAGGGAATGCTGGGAGTAGTAGTTCCCCCACATGGCTCGGCAGGGGATGCTGGGAGTAGTAGTTCCCCCACATGGCCTGGCAGGGGATGCTGGGAGTAGTAGTTCCCCCACATGGCCTGGCAGGGGATGTCGGGAGTAGTAGTTCCCCCACATGGCCTGGCAAGGGATGCTGGGAGTAGTAGTTCCCCCCCACATGGCATGGCAGGGGATGCTGGGAGTAGTAGTTCCCACCACATGACTTGCCAGGGGATGCTGGGAGTAGTAGTTGCCCCCACATAGGTTGGCAGGGGATGCTGGGAGTAGTAGCTGCCCCCACATGGCCTGGCAGTTGATGCTGGGAGTAGTAGTGACCCCCGCAGGGGATGCTGGGAGTAGTAGTTGCCCCACATGGGTTGGCAGGGGATGGTGGGAGTAGTAGTTGCCCCTCATGGATTGGCAGGGCATGGTGGGAGTAGTAGTTGCCCCACATGGCCTGGCAGGGGATGCTGGGAGTAGTAGTTCCCCCACATGGGTTGGCAGGGGATGGTGGGAGTAGTAGTTGCCCCACATGGGGTGCTGGGACAGACCTGACTCCTCCTCCTTTCCCTTCCAGTGAAGGACTATGACCGCGCTGTCCAATATTACACGGACGCCATCGCGCTCAATCCGAATAACGCCATTTACTATGGGAACCGCAGCCTGGCGTACCTCCGCACCGAGTGTTACGGCTATGCCTTGGCCGACGCCTCCCAGGCCATCCAGATCGATGCCAAATACATCAAAGGCTACTACCGGCGGGCCGCCAGCAACATGGCGCTGGGCAAGCTGAAGGCGGCGCTGAAAGACTACGAGACGGTGAGCGCCCCACTTCCTGTACCCTGCCCCCGTTCCTATTCCACCT